AGACTCGAAGGGGGTGTCCTGGCTGTAGGACACCCAAGACAGTTGGACTCGCTCTTCTGGAAGTCCACCGGACACTCCATGTTCTTCACCAAGAGCGTGCTGTAAAAGCATCGGTTAGTGCCTCTTCGGTCTTCCTTAGTCATTGCTCAGCTCACACAGGTGTAGGGGTGTCAGGTACCCCCTAATCCTTAAAGTGGCATCTTTACTTTGTAACACTCTGAAGAGTCTTCTGCAGCAGATGTGGCCGGTGTAAGGCCTCCTCTGATGTCACTGACGGCTGCGTCCATGGGCATTGATGATGGATCAAAGTGAAATGAAGTCCTCGATCTGCTCTCTGTCACGACCTGTTTATTGGCGCAATCGTGAGGATTTTCACTTCGCCATGTTGAGATGTCATATCTATATTGAAGGCTGCCATCTTTGATCTGAATCCCTACGTGGTTTTAATTTTCTTCTTAATATTATCCATCGTTGTTATGAGTCACGCAGTCAAGGGTCTTTGCCTAGTCAACAAAACCCAGGTAAACATCTTCCGGATATTCTCTCCTTTCAACCATGACCCATCAGACATGAGCAATAGCATCCCTCGTTCCACATCCTTTTCTGAGCCTGGTTTGAATTTCTGGCACTTCCCTGTCAATGTCCTGCAACTCCATTTTATAATTTTTTTCTTCAGCAAAATTTCAGTGATATTGTTTGATAATTTCCACATTCTATGGGGTTGCCTTTTGTAGAATAGGGACGTATATTAATCGATTCCAGTTGGTTGACAAGCTCGTCTTATCCGTTTCTGGGAACAGACAACTAAGTGTTTCCAGCATTGCATCTGTTTTGCTAAGGCATCTCAGTTGGTACTCTATCCTTTCCTGGAGCCCTGCTTCACACGAATGCCCTCAGTGCAGCTTGGGCTTCGTTCTTCATCATCTTGCTCATATGCCACCACTGAGATGGTTGAACGTCAACCAATTCTTGATGGCATGGGTGGAACAAAGCTTTCGGCGTTCTAACCATAGAGCCAGCAAGCAGTTCAAACCCACTAGCCACTCTCCAGGAGAAAGAGGAAGCTGTCTGCTCCCCGTAAAGATCGAGGGTCATCTTCTGGCACCCTATGAACCAACGCTGTAGAGGATCATCTTCTGGCACCCTATGAACCATCCACTGCCGTCCCTGAGGCTTGCACTGGCCAGTGCTCTCATATGCAGACCTTCGGGTCCTTCTTTCTAGTCTGTGTCAGTCTGGAAGCTAACCTGCCCACCTACTGGTGTCTGAGATATAGTGGCATCACTTCCAGCATACCACTGGTATTTTTAAATCAAAAAGGTTTAAGGGGGGGCGGATTGACAAAATTGGAATTCTGCCACCAATGTGGCCTTGGGTTGCCCCACGCGTGGCCAGGGAAATGGGCTAAGAGACTCCCCAGAGCCCACTGTTCCCTTTGAGGCAGCAGCAGCCCCCGGGGCATTTCCCAAGAGGAGGGGACCTGGTTCCATGGATCTGGGTCTGCCTTCGTTCATGTGTTCCCTGGGAAATTGGACGAGGGGCAGGCCGGTATGTCAGAGAGAGAAACCGTGCCTATTGTGGAGACGTGGTCACTAGAAAGGCCGCCCCAGGGAAGGCCTTAGAGCATGACCGCCGTCCCCAGGATCGTGGTCTTCGGTCAGTAACCGGTGCTGCAGGGGCTGGGGGGGGAGGGGGGAGAAGGGGCTCTCTGCACTGAGCAAATCACCATGAGTCGGTTGAGAAAGGAAAACTAAGGTTCTATCTGCCATCCCTCCTGCCTCTGAGGAAGGGCCTCAGAAGGTGGCTGCCAGCGGGAGCTGGTATCAGACCCCCCCACCACCACCACCGGTCTCCCTCAATTTTTGTGTGTGTGGGGACTGGGGGGACCCACCTTCCTTGGCTACATCCTGGAAAGCAAGACAGCCTGGATGTGACAGAGGCTTCTCAGAGCCCCTGGGGGTGGGGGGACCTGGGCTTTTACCGCTGCCAGCTGGTGAGACAGGGTCCCGGGACGGGCTGGGACATGCTCAGGGCCACACCAAAACTTGGTGGCTACACCAGACCTGGAGCCACTAGGCCAGTATGATTTCCCCTATGACAGGCTTCCTTTTGGGGGGGCAGGGTCGGGGGGCTGGGAAGGCAGACGAAGAGGTGAAGCAAGGATGGACAGAGAGCTATCAGATAAGTCCATTTCCTGCCTTGATCTTTTCCTGCTCCAGCACCGGCCCGAAGCCCCTCGTCTCAGCTGGACACTTGGTTGACTTTTATCTGACTGTCCTGTCCAGGGGCAGGTTCCGTCTGGTCTCAGGTCTGAATGCTCCAGAGGCGTCTCTTCTTCCCTTCATTCAACAAATACCCACCCACCAGCAGGCCCAACCAGGAGCAGTTCCTGCTAGAGGCACCCAGCAGGGAACATGACAGCCAAGTGCCTGCTCCCCTGGAGCTCTTGTCTGCCGGCTGCGAGGCTGTCACTGGAAGGCTGAGTGCCTGGGCCCAATTTTCTGGTCACTTAAGTTCGGCAAATGCTCTCTGCAGAGCATCGAGTCACAGATATGGAGCAGGACTCCACTGCAATTGTTCCGGAGAGATCATCCGGCTGTGTAGCAAACCATCCCAGAACAGAGTGATGTAGTACAACCGTTTCTCATGCTCACGGATTCCATGGGTCAGGTGTTTGGACAGGGTACAGAACGGAGACTTCTGTCTCCTCCCTGGCCCCTGGCTACAGCTGGAAAGACAGGAAGGCTCGGGGCTACAGCATGCAGGAGAGCTGGAATCGTGTGGAGACATCTTCCCTCACTCAGCCCAGAGTAGAGGCTGGCTGTCAGCCCCGCTGTCAGCAGGGACTCCTACATGCGGTCTCTCCGCATGAGCTCATTGGAGTTTCCTCACAGCATGGCAGCTGGGTTCCAGGGGCAAGTGTCCCAAGAGAGCCAGGTAGAAGTTGCATCTCATCATATCACCTGCCCTCCGAAGTCACTGAGGCTTTACTTCTGCCATCGTCGCACCTGCCCAGATAAAGGGAAGGGATGCATACTGCCCCTCTCGATGGGCAGGAGGATGCTGGGGTGGACTGGATGGGCTTAGTTCCCAGGGAAAATGCCAAAGTAGGCCCCTGCCTCGCCCCACCCCTGTACCTCTGTTTGAGGTTGGAGATGAGCAGAGGCTTGCAGAACCCTGGGTGAACTGAACTGCCTCTGGTTCCCACTCGGGGGTTTCATTGAATACAGTTGGGCCTCAGAATGGGTCATGGGTCACTGTTCCCAGCAGGACTACTTTAGGACATCGCAAATGGAAACTTTAATTACCGCATGGAGATGAATCTTGTCTGTTGCACCATCAGCTCTCTCCCCTTCTATCTTCTTTCCCTTTTAAATCATCTGCAGCTCATATACCTCCTCCTTGACCCCCCTGTCATCCCAGTCCCCTTCGACCACTCATTCTGTTCTTCTTTCTTTTCCCACAGTGACCTCTAGTCTCAACACCCGCCCCCACCACCACCACCACATTCCACGCTCCTCTTCCCACCTGGCTCTGCCTCTCTCGGTTTCCTTCCTTGCCCTCGCTCTCTCTCAGGCGGGGTGGGGGTGGGTAGCATCACACACACGCTTACACACACACACACACACACACCCACACACACACACACCCTTACACACACACACACACACACACACACACACACACACACACACCATTTCCCGGACAAACCATCTAATTGAAATGGAGCACTCTAGAGAATGTTAATGGGAACGGCAGCATTAATTAGTCAGCTCTGGCATAATTAGCTTCCTCCTCTCACAGCCTGGTCTCTAACTGGATAATGAGTTTCCCTCCGTCCAGAGGGCAGGCGGGACAGCGAGGACGTCCTGGTCCGGGCGGCCGTTCTCCTTGCCTCCTGCCTTCAGGCCATCCCCCTGGAGTCCTGAGGCTGCCCAGCCCTGCCTTCTCCTGCCAGAGCCTCCTGCTGCCTGGCCCCAAATCTTGAGGAGGCAGATGTCTGGCTCCTACCCGGGCACAAGGGCTCAATGCTGCAGGAGCTGCATAGCAAGTGGGGGGAGCCTGACAAACGGTGGCTGCAGCTGTGTTGCTTCACAGAGGCTGGGGGTGGGGAGCTATTGAAGGTTCTTGAGAGCTGGGGCTGGCCACCTAGCCCTGGCACAGCCCCACAGGCAATGGCCAAGCCGCGCTCCAGAGGGGAGCAAAGACGTCTGCTTCTATGGCAGATAATAGCTCATGTATCACACAGGCCAAAACTCCCTTCTAAGTTGACCCTCCTCACAATCACGGGAGGCAGGGGTGGCTATTTCCATTTCAGAGATAAGGACCCTGAGGTTCAGAGAGGACCACTGCCTTGCCAATCACACTGCCAGGACCCAAACCAAGGCCTGTCTGAGTCCACAAGCGTGTTATCCCCCTCTGCTCATACTTCCTGAAGGTTCTGTGTGGCTTGTTGCTCATGACACGAAAGTGGATGCAAAAGGAATCAATTGCCTTGGGGGGCACTGAGACAGTTAAGGGTGATCGGGGGAAATCTGGCAACAGCGATGGCTGTGCAGTGTGGTGAACCTAAGTGAGGTCACTCATGGACACGTCATGGCCGAGACGGCAGCGCACAGTGTGTGGCAACACAGTCACAGCTGGCCTGGGGACCTAAAGTCAGAGAAAGCAACCCTAACGGGGTAATCCTGAGTAGTCAAAAGCCCCCTCAGATACACCTAACGTAGGAGGGACATCTTTTCTGTTGACACTTGAGCTGTGAGTTCACCCCCACCCCCACCCCCACCCCTCCTCGGCCTTGAAAGCCAAGATCTTGTTGGGGAGGGGAAATTGCAGGATTGTTCTTTGTCTCATGCACACATCATTGGATTCTGTTGCATTAGCTGCCTGCTCAGTGCGGTATTTGTGTGTGGTTATGAGTGCGCCAACATAATGCTGCCACGGGGCACATCGCCGGCCCCTCCCTAGCCCACTGACCCTTTCTCCCTCCCCGGCAGGTTATGGACTCCGAGGATGACCCCTTGCTGCAGGATGTGTGGCTAGAGGAGGAGCCGGAGGAGGAGGAGGCGATGGGGGAGACCCTCTGCGGAGCACAGAAGTCTGGGCTGCACCCAGGCACAGGCAGGCAGTGTTGTCGAAGGCGCTGGGCATGGCCCTCCCGGCCCCCGGCCTCTGGCTTCTGGAGCACTCTGGGCTGGGCCTTCACCAATCCGTGCTGTGCAGGGCTGGTGCTCTTCCTGGGCTGCAGCATCCCCATGGCCCTGTCTGCATTCATGTTCCTCTACTCCCCGCCGCTGGACATCGACATCTCCTACAACGCCTTCGAGATCCGGAACCACCAGGCCTCACAGCGTTTTGACGCCCTTGCCCTGGCGCTCAAGTCCCAGTTTGGGTCCTGGGGACGTAACCGGCGCGACTTGGCCGACTTCACCTCCGAGACGCTTCAGCGCCTCATCTCCGAGCAACTGAAGCAGCTGCATCTTGGGAATCGCTCCAGGCCTGCGGCCAGGGACCCACGTGCCATCGGAGGCTCGAGCTTCTCCTGGGACATCGCAAGGGCCCCAAAGGCAGCAGCCAATAGGAATGGGCGTCATCGGCGCGAAATCCCACCCCTGGAGAGGCTGGTGGCCAACCAGAGCAAAGTCCTGCAGCATCCCGACAAAAATGGGCGGTACCAGCCCAGCGTCCCGCCCCCCGTTGGGAGCGCGGCCAACCAGAGCCGGGCTCGGCGGGGCGCCTCGCGTTGGGACTACTCCCGCGCCTATGTGAGCGCCAACACGCAGACGCATGCGCACTGGCGCATCGAACTCATCTTCCTGGCGCGGGGTGATGCTGAGCGCAACATTTTCACCAGTGAGCGGCTGGTCACCATCCATGAGATCGAGCGCAAGATCATGGACCACCCGGGCTTCCGGGAGTTCTGCTGGAAGCCTCACGAGGTTCTTAAGGACCTGCCACTGGGCTCCTACTCCTACTGCTCCCCGCCGAGCTCGCTCATGACCTACTTTTTCCCCACCGAGAGAGGTGGCAAGATATACTACGACGGCATGGGCCAGGACCTGGCCGACATCCGGGGTGAGGCCCGAGCGCCTGGCGTCAGGATGCGGATGGGGCTGGGTGTGAACAGTCAGGGGTGGGGTCTGAGGGCTGGAGGAGGGGCTTGTGAGCTGGAGGCCCAAGGGGTGGAGTCTGAGTTGAGGCAGAACTTTTAGGGTCGGGGACGAAGGAGTCGGGGTGGGCTTCCACGGGGATGGAATCAGAGAAGGCTTGGGGGACTACTTGGAGGCTTGAAGACTTGGAAGCAGGTTCAGTTCTGAAGGAGGATGGGGTGGGGCATTGAGATGGAATCTGGGTGAACGCAGTGCTGGACGAGGCGGGAAGAGGTTGGGAGTTTTGCTGTGGTCCAAGTGAAAGAGTGTATGCTTTGAATATGAGGTTGGTTAGGGAGAGGTTAGAGCTGTGGCTATAAGAATGGAGGATGGGGTCAGAGGCTGGGGTTGAAGGATGGGGGGTTGGGTGGCAATGAGGTAAGTTAGGGGGATGCGTTGAAGAATGTTGGGGCATGTCAGGATGGTTGTTGGAGTGATTGGGCAAGGCTTGGGTGATCCTTTGAAGGATGGATGTGATCCAAGCTTTAGGCAAATCGGAAGTGGAATGAAAGGGTGTGTCCAGACTGAGAGCCCAGCCCTGGTGTCATAACTGGTTATGCAATAGGCTGCTAACCACAAGATCAGCAGTTCAGAAGCACCAGGCACTCTGCAGGAGAAAGTTGAGGCTTTCTACTCCTGTAAAAATTTAGTCTGAGGAACCACAGGGCCACCTGTGTTCTGCCCTGGAGGGTCACGGTGGACTCAATGGCAGTGAGTGAGTGCAGAGTGTGGGCTTGGGAAGTAGGTATGGTTCAAACTGGAATGAAAGCCTAAACGTAGGGGGACCACCTGAGCGAGTCTATGGGTCACTAAGGAAGGGAGTTTCCCAGCTCCTTAGGGGCTTCAGGACCCAGCTGAGGCGGGGACGATGGCAGAGTGACCTTGGGGGAGGGCTGGGGGGAGCCGCTGCTGAGATCACTGGGCCCCACTCCTGCCCCTGCAGGCTCCCTTGAGCTGGCCATGACTCACCCCGAGTTCTACTGGTATGTGGACGAGGGCCTCTCTGCAGACAACCTCAAGAGCTCCCTCCTGCGCAGCGAGATCCTGTTTGGAGCACCTCTGCCCAATTACTACTCTGTGGACGACCGCTGGGAGGAGCAGCGGGCAAAGTTCCAGAGCTTCGTGGTCACCTACGTGGCCATGCTGGCCAAGCAGTCTACTAGGTAGGAGACTCCCACCCCCGCCCCATGCCCCAATCCCCAGTGTGTGCTTGCCCTTCTGTATTCTTGGAAAGGCTGCATAGGGGTGGGGAATTGGTTTCCAAGTGCCTTGGACTCATCAAAAGGGAATCCCCTGGTGGTGCTGTCAGGTAAACATTGAATTCCATTGGACTGCCAACTGCAAGGTTGGTGGTTCAAAGCTAATAGGAGAATGATGTAGCTATGGCTCTCATCAAGATTGCCAACCTGGAAACCCTTTATAGGGTTGCTGTGAGTGATGGCAGTGGGGTTGGTGGGCTAGACTCACCTTCCCTCAGGAAGCCTTTCTTCCCCAATCTGGGGCAGTGCCAGATGCATCCTTGTTCTTGAGGCCCCTTCTCTTGACCAGTGCTAATGGCCAGTGAACATGACAGCTTGGAGGAGGTAGGACATTCTAGACCTCTTGCCCTGAAGTCCTGGAATATTGATTTTCTCCCAAGGTGGTGCTAGAACACTTTCTGGAAAGAATATTGGCCAGGGAGAAAGAAGTACTCTGCCTTGAATACCCAGGGAGATAGTAGGCAAGTCAATTAACTTCTCTGGGCCTCCATTTTTCTCCGTATACAATGAGGATAATGATTCTTGTTACCCTGCTGGAGTCATTAGGAAGAGATGAGCTAACAGATGTGAGGGCATTTAGGGACGGTGGTACTGTGTTGTCATCTACGTCTTGTGATGCATCCTCCCCAGGAGAGGGTAGCCAACTGCGCTGGGCAATAAATCCACTGCCTTCCCAGCCCTCTGCCCTGACAGGCTATTTGGAGGCCCGGGAGGCCGCCTTCTGTCTGAAATACCCTCCACCCTCCCAGCACTCACTCCCAGTACATCTCCTCAACCCAGGGAGGTAGGGGCTGCACTGGTTACCTCCAGCGTACCGAGAGGAAATTGAGGTACAGTATGACTGGGTGAGTTGTCCAGAGTCATGTAGCTCAGAGTGGTGGAATGGCGTTCAAATCCAGGCATTCTGATCCCCAGCTCCCAGCCTTTTCCCCACGGTTGCTGCTTTGCCAGGCAACCCCCTGTCCGTCCATTAGCATCCAGTGTTAGCTGATCTCCTGAAGCTGGATCACACGCTCCCTGCCCCCCCCGGCCCTCGTGGCCCCCAAAGCGAGGCAGGAAGAAAGCAGACCCGGGGCTTGGAGTTAGATATGTCTGTGGTCAAATTCCAGTTACTGCGTTTATGAGTAGTGGGAGTTTGGATGAACTATTTCATGTCTCTGAGCAGTTTCTTCTTTTAATGTTTTATCGTGAGTTGGGTGAAGGTTTACAGAACAGATCATCAGTTTTACACTCAACAATTCATACACGTTTTGTTCAAGGCATGCATTGCCATCTCCTCAACGCGGAATTCCTCACTGTTCCACTTATTCTCTGTTTACTTCTATTCCTCCTCATTTTCCTAACCCTCTAAACCAGTAGTTCTCAACCTGTGGGTCTCGACCCCTTTGGGTGTCGAAGGACCCTTTCACAGGGGTCGCCCAGTTCATCACAATAGCAAAATGACAGTGAAGTAGCAGCAATGAAAATAATTTTATGGTTAGGGGTCACCACAACATGAGGAACTGTATTAAAGGGTTGCAGCATTAGGAAGGTTGAGAACCACCACGAGCCTAAACGTTGTCCCTTGGGGAAGTGCCATCTTTTTTATCCTAAGCCATTGCTTGTGTCAATATGGGGGTGGGTTCAGCTCCAGACCTGAAGGAGAACTAAGGGCCTTGGGGGTCCTCAACCAATGTGTCTGGTCTCTGTTATGGTTTTGAGATTTGTTCTGCATTCTTCCACTCTTTTTAGGACCTTCTAATGAGATCCTTTTCAGGGCAGTTGGTAGTGGTAGCCAGTGTGTGAGTCCGGGTAGACTAGAGAAACAAATTCATAGAAACTATATGTATGTAGGAAGAGCCTTATATACAAGAGCAATTGAACATTAAGATATTAGTATGATATTAGCCCATATGTCTGATACCAATCTATAAATCTTCAGACTCACGAAACACACGCAAAGACGCTGAATGCTGGAAGATCACAGGCTAGTGCACGGTGGGAAGTCTTGTGGATCCAGTGGCGGTGTAAGCATCTCAGCACTGGCAGGGGTCTCCACGTGGCTTCTCCAGCTCAGGGCACTAGCGTAGTTCCATGTGTCTCATCCGTTGCAATGTCTCCCAGGCAGGGAGTGAGCAGAGAGAGACAGTGTCTCCTGCCTCCAGGGAGGAAAATATAGGAGTTCCCAGAATCCTCAGGAGAAGGCCATGCCCACACAGAGGCCTCATTGGCTATGAGCCGATTGACAGACTAGACCCATCCCTTCACTCTTAATCCTCTCAAGTCCCAAATTGACACCAGATTGTGTATCTGCCACAGCCAGGTACCATCTAGTTCTTCGGGTCTCATGGTTATGGAGACACATGCCTTCTTGGTCATTAGTCCACTGAACTAATTGTTTCCGTATGCCCTTTGGTTTTCATCTGAGCTACAATTTCATCATAGCACGAGTCACTCTTGTGTTTTCATTGTGTAGCTCACAATGCAGCCCTTCCATCAGCATCAGCAGCCTCTGGGGCCTTGTTAGAAATGCAGTCTCGGGTCCTTTCCCAGATTACAGTACCTCCCAGGGACTTTGTACATTCAAGTTTGAGACAATTTCATTGAAAATGCCTTTCTAAACAGAGTGAGTTGAATATTAGAATCGGCGTAATTCGTATCTGTGGGACTAGCCCCTAGCACAGTGCCAAAGATCTCTTAGTAGGAATTAACCTAAAGAATGAGCTAAATGAATTGGTGGAGATGCCCTGAGGAAAGGTACTTGGCAGTAGAAGGATCTGCCTAAAGTGTCCAGCTGCTCAGAGAAGTCCCCGGACCTGGGTGAAAAAACCTCTCCTAGCCTTCCTCTCTCCTAGAGTTTCACAGATATGAAGACCAGGGTCTGTGTTGATTTGGCCAAAGGCCTTCTTTTGGATTGATAAAAGTATTTTTTATTATTCGGTTGCTGGATACCCTAGAGATGGCAGCATACATCCTTGACTTGTTACAGAATACTATAAATTATCACTTTGTTATACTTTCCCGATAAGAATAGAATCTTACAGCACATTCATTGCATTTATTCTCCGTCAACTTGTGCGTTTTCTGTTGCGTGCATTTTAATTCCACATACATTTTAAACCCCACAAGACATTACATATTCATTTTTTCAGCGTCAGTATTCATTTACAGTTTACTCATATATTTACCTTTCCTGCTGCTCTTCGGTACTTGCTACAATTTCCTGTTTCCTTCTGGAATCATTTTCCTTAAGTTTGAAGAACTCTCTTCAGTACTTATTTTAGTGTTTGTTGGAGATAAATTCACCGTTTTGTTTGGCTAAAACCATTTTTATTTCCCTTGCACTTTTGAAGTCTACCTTTGCTAGTGTAGCATTCTAAATTGGCAGTATTTTCTTTTAACACTTTAAAGACAGCTTTCCACTGGTTTCTGATTCCCATCATTCCTGTAGAAGAGTCAGCTGTGAATCTTCTTGTTCCTTTGAAAAATCATCTCCTTTTCACCGGCTGCTTTTACGACTTCTCCTGTCTCTTGTCTTCACCAGTCTTACCTGAGGATCATACGTGTAGATTCCGATGTAATTGCTCGGGTGACGTGTGCAGAGCTTCTTGAGCATGTGAGTTGATGAGTGTTATCTTGTTTTAGGAGCTGTTTGGCTATCATCATGGCAAATATTCTTCCTCCCCTTTCCTTTTAGGACTGCGATTGCACAGATGTTTGACTTGATTTTTACCCCCATTACATCCTCTGTATCTAATGCCCTTTTCTGGGTTTCTTTTTGCCATTTTTTTACCACCACCCCCCACCCCTGCCCAGTTCCTCGTCCCCTTTTTAGCATTTTTAACTTTATGTGCTTTGGTTTAAATATTCCAATTCACTAATTCTGCCTTGGTTTTAGGTAGCTTGTAATTAACCACTTTCAGAGCTTTTAATTTCAGTGTTAAGGTTTTCTGTTCAGGAATTTCTGTTTCAGTTCAATGTTATCGATTGTGAATCACTAGTGAAAATTTTCACTATTTTATTTATAGACATTCTTAGAGAAAAAGTTTTGGTTCCAGGCTACCACAATAAAGCAACTATTGCAATAAAGTGAGTCGTGGAAACGTTTTCGTTTTCCCAGTGCATAGAAAAGTTATGTTTACACTGTAGTGGAGTCTCTTCAGAGGGAGCCTAGTGGCAGAGTGGGTCATGCATTGGGCTGCAACCTGCAACGTCAGCAGTTGGAATCCATCAGCCACTCCTTGGGAGAAAGACGAGGCTTTCTGCTCCCCAAAAGATTTATAGCTTCGGAAACCCAAATGGGCGACTCTACTCTGTTCAGTAGAGTGGCTGTGTCTTGGAATACACTTGATGGCAGTGGGTTGTGGGCAGTCTACTATGAAAAAGTTGGAACTAGCTGTAAGGATTACACATACCAAATGAGCACCTGCTGGTGGACAAAGAGCACCCGACACCTGGTCCACACAAGGTTGCTGCAGATTTCCACTTGTCCAAATTCCAGTCTCTGTGAAGCACACTGAAACAAAGTGTGACTGTATTTTGCCTATATTCTCCCTTCTTTTCTGAATTAATGCTCCGTTAGGGGCCGTCTC